GGCTTCACACGACAGATAGTTGACTTCTCATTTCCATATAAAGTGTTGCCACTGCTCCGGGAGACGATTCCATGCAGTGACTCGGGGATCTAGATGCTTCCATCGAGTCAACATCAAAGCATGGGGCCTCCTCCACGGCCACCAAACCGGACACTCGGGAGGGGGCTTCTCCCTGTTGTGGCTTGGGCATTTCCCTCCCTTTCCTCTTTGACTGGACGTAACACATCGTGTGGACTTGCCCAACAGCAATGCCGCTGACACGTACGGTCTTACGTGAGCCTGGAAGGGAAGAACTGAACGCTCGGTGAACACTCCTCATACCTTCTACTTTGTAAATTTCCGTGAGGAGAGCCTGGGTCTTGGGTTCAACCAAAACAGAGAATTGGAGCTGAGACCACTGAAAAAAACCCAGGGCCCTTGGAAGGCTACACCGGCAACAACAGGGTCACCTATAAAAACTTCCCTGGTGAGAGGAAGCATTAGTCAGCGTTTGCTAGATTAAGCTGCAGTAACAAGTAGCTCAGAGCCACAAAGGTTATTTGGAACACGGCTGGAAGAAGCAGCCCCTGTCTGGAATGGGCCAAAGTAACAAATGCAGCGGCGTCTCTTAAACCTTTCGCTCAGCACGACCTCACAGCACTTGCACCCGAATCACACTGCCCAGAGCCTGGAGGGCATGGGTGTGACCCATTCTGCCTTGTGCAGGAGCGTAGAAAGCCACACGGTAAAAGCAGGGCTATATTGTCTTCCAGCGGGGAACGCAGCAAATCCTTGAGAGCAATGAAACAACCTACCCACAACAACTTCTACACACAGAAAACTCTGGCAGCCTCAGAGCCAGGTGGGAAGAAAAGGCTTCTCTGAGGATTTATGCCCACATTACCTCTCTCCTGTAGGTTCTGAAGTCTGAATTTTCCTTTGTGCCTCCCAAAGCATATCAGACTGAGAAATTAACTTTAAACTGTCCTGAGTTGATGGCACTGTGGGGCAAACGGCAGAAGTAAATAAAAATACTTTCTCAGGGATGTGCTTCTAACTCAGGTCTCATAAAATTGTCACAGACAAATTCTGGCCAAATAGAAATCTGAAGGACAAGAACAAAAGCAAAAGTAAAAACTGGAAACAAGTTACAGGAAAAGAAACTCAGTAGAAATAATAAAAGCATGATTAGATTCCAAGGAATTCAGCTATTGGAATTTTCACAATATAAAATCAGTATATCTTAAAAAAATATTTGAATCAATAAAAGAGGTAATTAGAAATTTGAACAATGAGAAAGAAATAACATTGTAATAACATGTAATAACAACAAAGAAAGAAATAACATGTAATAACAACATAGTCCTGGTGCATTTGGGAAAAAGATCTAGTAGAACTCTAGGAGAATGGTTAAATGAAGGAGGTTTTGGCTAAAAAATGCCAATAAACCGGCACAGATGAAGGGAAGCAAAGCATGAACGAGTGATTAAGAGACAGGAGGGGCAGAGTGGAAAGGCTGATGTCGGTCTCTCTGAGCTCTAGGAGGGCAGAACGCCAAGGACTGGGAAAGTAAACACTTAAAAAAATAATAATGGCTGAAAATTTTCCAGAACTGATGAAAATCATTAATAATCCTCAGCTTCAGATGCTTGACACAAAAAGGGATGAAAAATGAAAACTGTCACAAACATATCAAAGTGAAGTTATAAACACTGACGATAAAGAGAAGACATTAAAAACAGAGGAAAAAGTCAGATTATAAAGGAATGAAAAATAGCACGACAGCCGACTTCTCTAGAGCAAAAATGAGAGGCAGGAGACGGTGGGTGGAGCAGCTCCTGCGAGCGGAGAGGAAGGACCGCACACCAGGCAACGAGGACGCAGAACTGGAGGGAAATTAAAGGAACTGAACTACCGAGCCACAGGGCCAGGGAGGAGGCGAAGAGGTACCAGGAGTCAAACAGCATCCTGGGCTGTTTTGCTTGGGACAAGGAATTTTGAATTCTACTAATCATTAATTGAATTTTAGTAACTTCTCGATCCACGTCTCTGGCTCTGATCCCTCCCATCACTCAGGACTAACCGATCCAACTGCATTCTTGCCAAACCTCTGCTCGAGGAGCATCTGAAATTTAACAGGATTTCCTGCCTCCAGACCTGCTCCTTGTGTTCTCTGCCTCAGTTCAGCGCACGGTGTTCCCGCCTCCAGGCTGTCGGCTAAGCCTCGGAGTCATCCGTTCTCTCCCTTTTCCTCCCACCTTAGGTCCCCCCACCAACCAATCTCGCCAGCGCAACCTTTGAGACAGCAGAAGGCAGACTCTTCCCAGGGCACCTGTACTACCTGCTGTCTAGATCCCAGCCAGCTTCCCTGCTGCTCTTCCTGCTCGGTCCCACACGCCAGAGGAACCCTTCTGAATTGCAGGTCGGGTCATAGCGTTTCTCTGCCGGAAACTTGCTACGGGATCTCACCTGACTCGGCAGGGTCCAGGGCCCTTCCCCTGCTCTCCAGATAGGCAAGTTGCTCACACTCAATTTCGTCCTCTGGAAAAAATGTGTGTGAATAGAACAATTCCCTTGCAAGGAATACCCTGGCAAGAACTGTATTTAAAGAACAGTGAATGCAGGTAAAGTGCATAGTAGGTGCTACAGTTTCCAAACCTCACCTTGGAATCTGATCCCAGTGTTGGAGGTGGGGCCTAATGGGAGGTTTCAGGCCAGCTGGATGGGTGCCTCATGGATGGCTTTGCTTGGTGTCATCCTTGTGGTAGCGAATGAGTTCTCACATTGTTAGTTCTGGCAAGAGCTACTGTGTTTCCCTGAAAATGAGACCGACCCATAAAATAAGCCCTAGCAGGATTTCTGAGCATGTGCGCAATAGAAGCCCTACCCTGAAAATAAGCCCTAGTGATGGGTGTGGCCACGCAGTGCATCTGCACAACCCATGCATTTCATCATGGAGCGGGAAAGAAGAGAAACAGCTCTTCTCCTCTACCCCATCGTGACAGGGACTATCCAAGAGGTGGCCGGAAAGGTGCGGGCAGCCCCACCAACAAGGTCGGCTCCCCCTGTTGGGTCCCGGCCATCCTGTGCGTGCTGCAAGCTGAGGCTTTGAGGGGAAAATAACACATCCCCTGAAAATAAGCCCTGGGGTGTCTTCTTGAGGAAAAATGAATATAAGGCCCTGCCTTATTTTCAGGGAAACACAGTAGTTGATAAAGAGAACCTGGCCCCTCCTTCCTCTCTCCTGCTTCCTCTGGCCTTAGTGATCTCTGCACACCTGGCTCCCCTCCACCCTCCCGTGGGTGGGGTGGCAGCAGCAGAACCCTCCCCAGAACCAGATGCTGGCTCCATGCCTCTTGTACAGCCTGCAGAACTGCAAGCCACACAACCCTCTTTTCTTTATAAATTACCCAGTTTCCGTTCTTCCTTTATAGCAACAAGAACGTCAGGCTAAGACAGTAAGTGCTCCATGAACTGCACCAGCATTTTTCTGGAAAGGAGGAAGAACAGAGCTAGTGAGACAGAAAAATGAGATGCGACTTACTCGCCGAACTCCCACCTCCTCCGTGGTGTGCTCTTTAATTACAGCACTCGCCTGCTCTGTGTGTAAGCCTCTGTTTCCCGCACACGGGGCCCCTCCGGGTTTGCTGTGCGCCCTGTTGGTTCTCCTGTCACCCATGCCCGAAGGCACTGCGCCCTCAGCGCAGGATGGAGACTCGGGGCGCCCTTTGGAGAATGGGGAGGGCGTCGTTTTTTAAAGTGATGCAAGCAATTCACATAACCGCTGCGCTAATGACTCCCTGCCAGCCCGAGGAGCGGAGGCCAGTTCACCAGCACTACTGCGCGTAAGCGGCGCAGTGTCCTGTTGGCGTGACCACATTCACCGCAGCGGTAAGACAGGACACAAGTTCTCCCACTCTGAAAATATCTCACTAGTCAGGGCTTCGGTCCAGGACCTCCGCCGAGTGCCACCACGGGCGAGAGCGAGCTGAAGTTGCGAGTCTCCCTCCCACTGTGGGCGCGTTTAGGGAGAGCCGTCCACTCCTTCCCTGCGGCTTCCTCCCCAGCGGTCCGCGGGGGAGGGCGGGGATTAGGCGGCGGATTTTACAACTCCGGGTAGGGTAGCGGTGCCAACTCTTGCTTTCCCCGGCTGGTTACGGGGCGGGAGGCGCCCTCGCTGGCGGACCAGGAGCCCTGCGCCCCGGGCGCGCTCCGCCGCCCTCGCCCCCGCCCGGCAGCCCCGCCTCACCCGGCCGCCGCAGGTCCGCACCGCGGGGGCGAGCGCGCGGCTGGCGGAGCGCAGCGGAGGCCGCGGGCGGGGACCCACCTCTTTCGAATTCGTCCAGTCTCCGCTCGGCGCGGCGCCGCGACTTCCTCGGGTGCGAGTTGCAGCCCGCAGTCTTCGCCTCTTCTCACTTGCAGCGGAGAGGCCCTCCGCGCAGCCCTGGACTCCGCGCGCCTGGGCGGCACAGGACCGCTCCCGCCCTGCGGACGACTGGGGAATCTGCTAGAGGAGGTCGGAGGCGCCGGCCGGGCAGCGGCGGGAGCGCGCGGGGAGCGCGGACCCTCTGCCGAGCTGCGCCGGCGGCTGGGAGCGCCGGGAAGGAACCGCTCAGAGCAACAGGTGCAGCCCCAAGCCACTCCAGGAGCGAGGGAAACCCGCCAGCAGGGACCCGGAGCTGGTAAGGCGGACAGAGGCTCTCTCACCTCCCCGGCTTGGCGGCCGCGGCGGGTGCAGGGGACCCCAAGGCTGCCGAGACCGCCGCCCCCTCCCGGGAAGGGCCAGCGCCGGCTCGCATCCCCGCCCTCTCTCAGAAGGCCCCTGCACAGGGACGGTGCCAGCAGGCTCGGCTGCCCGGTCGCGGCGCCCGCGGTCGTGCCCGTCACGGGAGGCTTGGCTCTGACACCCGCGCGCTCCGTGCTCCGGGCTGGGACCCCGGCGCCCCTTGGCGCCCACTTTCCCCGCAGGCACAGGCACTCCTCCCCGGCGCGCCCCGCGGCCCGCGCCCCGGCGCCCCCGCGGGCCATGGAGCAGGCGGCCGGGAACCTCAGCGAGGGGAACGGGAGCGGGAGCCGGGCAGAGCCCCCGGCCGCGGAGCAGAGGCCGCTGTTCGGCATCGGCGTGGAGAACTTCATCACGCTGGTGGTCTTCGGCCTGATCTTCGCGCTGGGCGTGCTGGGCAACAGCCTGGTGATCACGGTGCTGGCGCGCAGCAAGCCGGGCAAGCCGCGCAGCACCACCAACCTGTTCATCCTCAACCTGAGCGTCGCCGACCTGGCCTACCTGCTCTTCTGCATCCCGTTCCAGGCCACGGTGTACGCGCTGCCCACCTGGGTGCTGGGCGCCTTCATCTGCAAGTTCGTCCACTACTTCTTCACCGTGTCCATGCTGGTCAGCATCTTCACGCTGGCGGCGATGTCGGTGGACCGCTACGTCGCCATCGTGCACTCGCGGCGCGCCTCCGCCCTGAGGGTGTCCCGCAACGTGCTGCTGGGCGTGGGCTTCATCTGGGCGCTGTCCATCGCCATGGCCTCGCCCATGGCGTACCACCAGGGCCTCTTCCACCCCAACGCCAGCAACCAGACCTTCTGCTGGGAGCATTGGCCCAACAAGCGCCACAAGAAGGCCTACGTGGTGTGCACCTTCGTCTTCGGCTACCTGCTGCCGCTTCTGCTCATCTGCTTCTGCTATGCCAAGGTGGGGGCGGGGCGCGGGCCGGGACGCGAGGGGGGGAGGGTGGGGGGGGGGGGGGGGGCGGCGGGCCGAGGGGCGACAGGGTCCCGGGGGCATCTCAGTGTCCCCATGCCCGTGCTCTCAGCCTGGGCGCTCGGGCTGACGGGTGCACTCCCCACTCCCTGTTTCCCTCCCTCTGCCAGCGCTTGCCCCATGCGGTGCAGGAGAGAAAGTTACTTAGAGTTTGAGGTGCGCAGGGGGAGTTTGCAGTTCACTTCTAGCTCAGGTAGAGAGCAGCGCTCCTGCTCGCCCCTCCTCACCGCTGCTGCATCCCTCAGCGCCCCCCCCCCTTGTCCCCGCTGCAGGCGGGCGCCCCACGCCTACTTTTCAGCAGGTGAGACCCCTCTCTGCTTCAGCAGCTCTTGCACCGACCCGCCTGCACCGCGGTGTTCGCTGGGCGCCCACAGGAATTGGAGAGCACACAGAGCCGGCCTTTTGCCCTGGCGGCCCAGTCCCCGCTCCCTCCCCAGCTCGCTGCCGCCTTCTTCCCAGGCGCACACAGTTTGCACTTGCTCAGGGAGGCTCTCACGGGGACAGAGCTTCACATTTTATTTAGCTTTATAAACCTGAGTGGTAAAACAGTATTTCTTCCCAGCGTCTTAACCGAAGTCTCCAGAGAACTTTGAAGCTGCCGTGTTTCCCGTTTCAATCCCTGTTAGAAAGGCCGTGGCAACAGTATTCGGTGATTCAGGGGCTGGGTCTGAGGCCCAGCCCTAGAGGGAGGAGGTAGGTAGGTAGCAAGCACACAGGGTCTGGCTTGAGCCAGACGTTTCCACGTTTACCCTTCCTGGGGAGGTGCTGTCTTCCCTGTCTAGAGCCCAGCAGAGTCCAGCAAGCGGCAAGTTCACATTCTGATTCCTTAATTACACAAGGATTGAAGATTTTATGTTGATCGAAAGTCTCGAGCCATTGACACATCTTGTTTATGCTTGAGCGGGTAAGGGTGTGTGTTTATTAATCGAGTGCTGCGGGTCACAGGCTGGACCCGGTGTATGTAGCACACTCTCTCCAAAGTGTCCGGCCGAGAGACACACACCTGCCTAAGCAGGTCCTGAAATTTCCTCCTGAACTTCTCTCTGTCTCTCCTGCTGTTTCCCGTAAGGCTGTGCCTGCAGGACCACAGACAGCCGGACTCCGCAGAACAGTAGCTTCTTACGTTCCATGCGTAAGCTAGTTTCTCCCAGCAAAATGCCTGATAGATGCCACTTGTTCCCTGAGACCTGTGTCATCCGTGTAGATTGTGTCTCTTTTGAATAGCAGTGTTTTGGATATTATCTCGAAGAATGGCTTCCACACAAAGGCTATATAGGAAGAAATGTCATAGAGGTAGAGAATTTGGAAAGTAACTCTAGCGGAGCTAGATGACAAAACCTTAATTGGAAAATAACCATTTGGAAAAATGGTTTATTCATTTAGTCTTCTGGAAACGCAAACCAAAGACTGTTCTACACGGCACAGTTGTCTGATACGTGCACCGTCTCATTCAACTTGCACAGCACGCCATGATGGGGGCTCTCGTCTTTGCTTCAGAGACAAAGAAAGAGTTTTTGGAAATATAGCAATGGACTCAGATTACGGAGTTGGTGAATGGTTCAGGAAAGATTTCAGCAGGTGTCCCCAATCTCCTGAGCAGGGGAGGACGTGCAGGGGACAGAGGGATTCTGAAAATATTTGGCTCTTAAATTCCCAATTACCGGATTAGAAGGGGAGCATACTCCTCCTCATCTCCCCAGAGTCTTTAGGGAAAATAACTTGAATCTTCTTCATGGAAATGACAAAGTAAACTTTTAGGGATAAATTAGGCTACATTTCTGTCATTTCACAGTTTTAAAAAGTCACATAGAAGCCAAAGTTTGGAAATAGTTTTTAAAACTTAATAAATACATGATCATTTGGGTTTTTAAAATATAGAAATGGTTTGCTTGCAAGAGTAACTGGAAAAATATTTTGGATTCAAGGTAGTATTTGCAAAGTCATTTCAGGGCCTTCATAAATAGGTAGAGGTAACAAGTTATTTCGAGTTGCTTTTCTTTGGTTTGGTCATTAAGTGTTCACGATCCAGGTAAGGGTTCTGCTACTTGCGTGAGAGGTTCAGGACTCGCTGCTCATCCGAGGCCCAGGTCTGATGGCCAACAAGGCACCTGACCTTACAGTGTGTAGGGATTTTTTCCCTTTATAAAACTTAATAAGTTGCCTTCTGCTCCCCAAGTCTTACAAGTTCCTTTGTCCAACAAAGGAACAAAGTGTGCCAAGAGGCAAACTCTTACGGTGCCTGCCCCGTTAGGTTGTTCTGAATCCCCAGGATGCAGCCAGCATGACCTCAGTGTGGGTTTAAGCCAGCACCTTCCCGTGCAAGCCCCCACACCTGCAGAGTGAGTGAGACATTTCGAATGCTGTCATCGTCTCCTGAAGAAACGTAATGGCATCTCCCGTGATCATCTGCAGGCTTTCTTCTTTGATGACAAAACCTTAACTGGAATGGATCACGATGTCTTTGTGTGCTCAGAGCATGGGCTGCTGAAGAGAAACAGAGCTAAGAAAAATACACCTGAGTGTTTTCTCCACCGACCTATCCAGCGGCAGTCGGTATCCTCAGGTGTGTGGAGGGCGCTGGGCTGTGTCCAGCCCGCCGGTGGCCGGGATGAGCAGACCTCGGCAGCAGAATGAGGCTGGAAACGCTTGCGTGATCTGCTTTGATTCCGTCTCGGGAAGGCCGTCTCCAGTGTCATCATGCTGCCTCTCCTCTGGTCTCTCCCGTGTCCCCGTGTCCCTTGCCCTCAGTGGTGGGTGCTGTCCTGCCACAGGACAGGTGCCAACACCTGCCACAGGCGTCGTCCTGGCAGTTTCCCGCCGGGAAGTTGCCACAGGGCCGCCTCGCCAGCCCTGTCCTCTCGGGCTGGCGGGTCCTGCCTGCTCCAGCCTTTTCCTTCCCCTTTGAAAGACATCCCCACTTGTTCCCGCAAAAAGAAAGTTCTTATTCTATCTCTGCCTCACCTTCAGTTCTTGGTACCCGATTCTCTGTCGGCAGGATGGCAAGCCGGCGCACTGCCAGTGCACTGAGTGCTGTCCCCGGTGCTCCTTAGCAAGTAAAAACTTGTCCTTTTGTAGAGGGTGCTGGGCCGTTTCAGGAAGTGAGATGTATTTCAGTTGGGCAGAGAATTCGGTGGCAGAAATTTATACCCCAATGAAGGCTGCTTAGCCTGCATAGGACTTGGAAGGTTGGCGAATAAATCCTGCGGCTTCTCAAGAAGGGTGTGACTGATTGCGCCAGGGGTGCTGCTTCTAGCTGAACAGAGCAGGCTTCTGCAGTGAGTCAGTTCGATTAGATTATTTACAAGCTGCGATGCCAAAGGGAACAAACAACTGGCTGGAACGTGGCTTCTGGCTCCTTGAGGGACTCACTCAGCAACCTATAGATAATCCAGAGCCCCAGGTCATCCAGAGGCTAAATTTTCTCTGGCGTTTCCCTCAGATGGGATACAAAGATGAACTCAAGTAACGGTTCTGCAGGAATGGCAGTGTTGTATGAGGCCAAATTGATGTTGGAAATTCCTGTATGTGATACCAAACGTTTTCATATCGTTTCTCCTGAATATCACACTGGCAAGAGAATACAAAGATAGTTTCTCTAATTAAGGAAGGGAGTGTGTCTCAAGGAGACATTAGTGAAACCTTGCAAAAACAGTCTGTATATCATCAGAGATGCTAAGTTCCCAAAATGTACGTTGTCTAAAGCATTGTGTGGTGGGCAGGATTTGAATGAACTATACTGAGAGGAGCAGCGTAGGGTGCTAGCTAACTTGCTTTAAGGAGATTTGCAGTGGAGACAGCCCTAGGAAGGAAACAGAAAGAATCCATCCACACGAATGTTGGTGCTGTTTGGCCGGGCTACACTGAGAAACATCTGATTGCATTATCTTCATTTGTTCATTGCTTCCTTTCCGGGTCGGATGGTGAATTCCCGGAGGGCAGGGCTCTAGTTTTTCAATGTGTCTGGGAGCTATACTGCGCCCAACATTTATTAGGGACCTTGTGATTGTTAGCATGTGGACCCCTGGGGGAAGCCAGGGCAGGGGATAGACCAATAAGCATGCACGAGTGGGTCGCAGCGTGCCTCTTTCTGGACAAAGCCCTGGAGCTGGTGCACCAGCTGTCCCTGCAGACAGATGCATGCTGGTCTTCCTGGGACCCTCTTAATTGTTAGAAAAACAGATGCATTTGGCAATTCATACTCATTGCTGTGTTGTCACCTAATGTACATTCTTATTTTAGCTATTTTATAAATAATGATTCTGCCGTTGCAGAACACGAGATGAGAGGCAGACTGACTTTATTAGTCTGTGTTTTCCAGGTCCTTAACCATTTGCATAAAAAGTTGAAGAACATGTCAAAGAAGTCGGAAGCATCCAAGAAAAAGGTAATATTCACAAATGTATATATGTTACTTTTTAGAGCTTATTTTATTTTTATTTTAAATTATCCTCCCATCTTCCAAGGCCTATGAGATTTAGGTCCTTGGTCCTCATGTTCGAGGCGAGTCTCTTACCAGGGCGTCATCAGTTGGGAGCAGAGAGCGGGTCTCGGCCAGGGCTCTGCAGGTGACTGGGCCACACTGAACTCAGCTGGTGGTTTGGGGAGGCAAGGAAACATGGATTGTTTGGCTTCTGAGTCTCGTCAGGAGGACTGTCTGGGCTGGCTGGGGCTCAGCGCAGGTGGCCGATGTTATCATTTGCGTGAAGGTGCGGTCCTCACGTTTACTGACTGTCTCCAGGACGATTCCCGGAGGTGCGGGTTTGATTCTCAACTGAGGGGACGTGGTTTTAATCCCTTCCTAAAGCCCCGGGGGCGGGTCGCTGTCCTTGTCTCCCCCACCCACACCTGTGCTGATGCTGGCCCGGGGGGCAAAGAGGTAAAGCCCGGGGAGCCCTGGAAGGAAAGTCCTCCCACGGAGAGTTGTCCTCACCCGCCCGGCCTGATCCAGGCGACCCTCTCCTGAGCAGCATCAGAGCACCTCACTCACTGACGGCTGTGACGTTTTACATCCGGTGGAACAGCTATTTCACTCGTCAGGATTAATACAGGTCTTCCTTGAATAATAGCTATATGATTCCTGATTTTGGAAAGTAGCATGAGATTACTAGACAGTATGATCAGGGAGGAGGAGATTATAACAAGACATTTTAACTCACAGGTATTACAAATAACATCCTGAATACCTTGTTTTTCCTTCTAACTATTTATTATGATCCATGACATATATAGTTTGCAGAAATTATAGTTTAGATAATCACATTTACTTAAAAAATTTTTACTAAAATAAGGGACAGCTAGCTCTTCTTCCTCCTGACTCTCCTTGTTTTTGAACAACAGTTTGCGGCTGAAAATACATCTCTTCCTAGAGTTGACAATGAATGTCAGGGAACTGGTCAAAAAGAAATTAGCTTGTGTTGGAAATCTAGCCATACAGCTTTTAGGATAACCCCTAAGAACAAAAGGTGCAATGCAAGCAACAAGCCTTTGTGGCAGCTTCCTTTTGTTGATGTTTTTTTTAATGTCTGAACAATTCTGTACATTTCATTTTAAGCTTCTAGGCTCTGTTTCATAAGAACTGACCAAGAGCTAAGTTATATGAATGGAGTAAACCCTAAAGGTTGGTGTTTACCTCCTCTGTTTTCAATAATGTGCTGTTATAGTGGAATTTTCCCCTTTTTCTAATCTATAATACTAGGTTTTCCTCTGAACCACACTTCTCATCAGTAAGAAAATGACTTACTACGAACAATTAAGGATTGTTTGTGATGTCCCCCTGGTCAGGGACTTTCAGAGCGTCTCCTCTCTGCAGGATTGGGGTGGGGAGACTGAGAGAATCGGCTCCGTGTGGAAGCCAGCCCTGTGGTAGAGGAGACAGGTACACAACAAGCCCAGAAGGGCTTGTTCAGCGTGATGAGTGTCTGGAGTTAGAGGAGGAAGAAATTAATCTCCCAGAGAGGGACTGGGCTTGCTGAACTTTAACAGAGGAGATACTATTGATATAAGGTAAATGCTTATTAATGATTTAAAATGTTTTATGCTTGCCAAAAGAAATGAAACACAACATTTCTTTAACATGTTCTGAATCTTATGTGTGTCAATGGCTAGTTTTAGCCTCTGTATTTGAAAAACTATTGGACAGAAATTATAAAGGTATCAAGGAAGAACAACATGCTTAAAAAAGGAAAATAGGTCTTATGAGAAATGAATAGAAAACGTTTTGTTTTACAACAAAAAACCCTAAAGATTAGTGATTACTTTGTTTAGTTATACACACATACATACAGACCCACACATACATAGACACACACAAATATTTAGGTTTATGTACGAATGTGTCTATGTGTGTGTTCGTATGTAAAATAAACACGTATTTATATATGATTACCTTTTGCTCATTCTCACCATATGAGGAGGTTTCAGCCTTTGAAGGAGGGATTTTTCTCTTCCATTCCCACAGCCCCTGACCCTTAATAGGCCCTGAACAGCTGTCAGGTCTCTTTTGATATGTTTGATCGCCTCCTTGTTTGCACAGGACAAATAAAGGAGGCGGTGCTGGTGGTGTGTGTCTAAGAGGGAGCGTGAGGAAGGGAGTGGGGAGAGAGGGGAGGCAGGAGCAGGAGAAGAGAAGCCGAGAAGAGACAGCAATTCAGCAGTTCGCCCGGAGCAGGCAGAGCGGATGGTGGGTCCCTGAAGGCAGGCGGCGGCCTGACCCCTGGGGCGCCGCCAGGTCTCAGCAGCTGTCGCTGCGCGCAGAGTCCCGGTTAAACAGACGGTGGGCAGACGTGAGGTTTGCTCGTTTCAGCTCCGTTTGCTTCTAGCGCTTCCCCTCAGCGCCCAGCCGTTTCCTTTCCCCGTGCCGGGTCCACCTGTCCGTTCGGGCTGCCGTAACAGAACACCGCGGGCTCATAAATGGCAGAAGAATGTGTTTCGCACAGCTCTGGACTAAGAGTGCAAGCTCAAGTGCCAGCAGACTCAGGGGCCCGTGGGGATCATTCTCCTGGTTCACGGATGGCGCCTGCTCTCTGTGTCCTCACTTGGTGGAAGGGGGCCGGGCAGCTCTCGGGGGGCTCCTGCGTGAGGCCACTAATCCCACTCACGAGGGCCCCACCCTCAGTCGCCCCCCAAAAAGCCCCGGCCCTAACACTGTCACCCTGGTGATTAGGTTTTAACACATGAATTTTGCGGGGGACAAACATTCAGACCATGGCGCTGTACTCACAGGTCTTCCCATCAGGATTTGTCACTATTAATATTATGGGCTGGAGAGCTTGCCCTTTCACGATGAGCAGGCTGAACGGTTCCCCTCCATGTCTGGAGAAGAGCACCCCAGAAGGATGTGTTTCTATTGCAGAAATAGTGGCACGGAGTCCTGCCGTCCATGATGTGCTTTGCTTAAACTCTGCCAGACACAAGGAAATGTCTCTGGCACAAGGCTGATTGGGCGGCAAAACAAGATTCTTCAGTGATCCTTGGAAGACTTGGAAAGGGGATGGACAACTGTACTGGCTGGTTGCTTCTCGGAGGAAAATTGGACTAAATGACTTCTTGATGTCTTACCAGCCACTGGATTCTGTGATCGGTCACCTTTTTTTTTCTAGCTTGAAGTCATTCTGCAAGCTTTTTGGCTGTCATGTATATAATTTGTGAAATGCTTTTTTTTTTTTTTATTCATTCTCATCTTTTAGTCTCTTTTTTCTCCCCAACCAAATTCCATTAGACATAGTTGTGAGTAAAATTCTTTGAAGAAAGAACAGATGTCTCAGATGGCTTGAAAAGAGCATCTCACAGTGAGAAGAGAGATTAACATTGTTTAGATACTGTCAGCGTAAGCTGCACAAAGCAACCGTGCTGGTAAAGGGCCAGGCTCAGGAACGGTGAGATATGGTACATAATCTTCGATGATGACTTTTTCTCCTTCGGGAGGTAACAGACAAATAAGTATGAACAGTGTGATACCTGCCCTGGGCACAACTCCGTCTCGGACAGAGACGATGATCCTGCCAGAAAAGAAAAAATACATTAAAAACAACAAAAAAAGAAAGATCTGGCTTGTTCTCCATAGAGGGGGTTCCCTGCCTTGCAGTCTGATGTGTCCGGGGAGAGACAGGAAGCCGCTTTCTAGACCTTTCTGGGGAGAAGGGCGGCCTCAGCCTTCAGGGTCTGTACTGAGTGAGGCGCCTTTGATTGTGTTTAACCCACAGTGGGTAAGAGAACTTCACTTTTGTTGTGGCTTTGATGTAACTCATCAGTCGTTTTCCAAACGCCCTCTTGATCTTTCTAAAAAGGCAGATTCCGAGGTAACTAGCAAACACAGGCTGCCTCACGGCCTTACAAGGGGAACTAGATAATTGAATTTGTTAAAAAGCTCCGTACCAGGTAGTGCTGGGCAAACACATCTGCTTAAATCCCAGGGCTGGGATTAGTGCCTTGCGTCACTCTGGCCAGATCTGTGCCCTTTAGCTGGCGTGCGCAGGGCACATGGCTCTCCAACTCCGGCGGTTTGGACGCGGCCGTGACTCAGGAAGGTTGGTGTTCTACCCGCACGGGACTTCCGGCCCGTGTCTCCCAGCTTCTCTGGTCTCCAGGCCTGGGGGCCCATGCACACCTGCTGCCAGGGAAGAAGGAAGACAAACATCACGTCACCTGCTGTTTCCTCCTGTGCACACGGGCGTGTTCGCTGCCCCAACATTGCAGCAGCTGGACCGGAGTCAGCTCGAGAGCTGCAGGACCAGCTGCCCGGGCCCCTGTGCCGGGCCCTGTGCCGGCACCCATGTGTGTCCCAGCCGGGAGACCAGCCATGGGCGGAGATGCTCGAAGAAACAGAGGAAATAGTAAATCCCAGAGCTGCTTAGGCGGAGCATGGGCAGTGTGAGCAAACACCCTGCTAAACTCCCCTGGGAACGGTCTTAGATGAATGATGTAGTTTATGTCAACACACACTGAGTGTTCTCTCCCGGTGTTTATATGTGAGTTGTAACCCTGCCCCAGTTCAAAGCTACCAGTAGACCAGGAGAAAGAACCTCACTCTTGCCTGTGGTTCTGAGAAGACCAGTGTGATCACCAAAAATGCGAAGGTGAATTTTGAATGAACTAGGACACGCAAATAGCAAACGCTGCCGTGGGGAGTGCTCCGTGCCCGGGGACACCACCGTCTGTCTGCGCATCTCCCCAGCAAGCTGCCGGGCCCTGTTTCTGTGCTAAGGTCTGCACTTAGTAAAAATTTCCTAAAAGAGGCAATGACATGGAATATCCAGAGGTAATTATTTTATGAGGTAGAGAGATGGGCTGGATGTCATAGACAGAAGAGATGATGTTTTCTGTTCTATTTGTAGGCATAATGATGTCTAGATTGTTTTGATTGAGCCATGTGAGAATGGCGTCCCT